GGTTATGAAGTTTTATACAACAGTGATGGTGGTCTAGAGCTTGTCGGGTTGGTCTCGGATCCAGATTCGGTTGAGTGTGAGTCTGAAAATTTTGAATCTGATGGACTCTAGCTGTTTGAGAAATTTTTAGAGTGCGCTGATCACCGAATACAAAAATTACTTCGATCTTCGAGTGATTATTCAATTCCAATTAGAAAATTTCATTGAGACTATCAAAGTACGGTTCAGCAGGGTCCGGATTCGAAAATTTTGAACTCAATAGGCTGTATGATAATCATCGATTCACTAGTCTACAGTGAAGCATTGCACTGATCTAGACATGTACGTACAGAATAACGGTAAAGAGAGTGAACGCATGATAAAACTATAGTGATCTTAGATTCATTTTGACTTTTTCGGTCAGACGAGGTTTATTTCAACAAAAACAGCTGAATTTTATAAAATATACCTAAACGATGAGACCTAAGCCTTTGTTGAATGAGAATACAGAACTTATGAATTTCAACAAATCTTCTATAGATTCGAATTTCTAGACTCTGAAAATCTTTAGCCTATTTTTACAAAAATTCAGCTATTTTCTTGGGATACCCTCTTTGACCGAAAAAATCAAAACAAATTCAAGATCACCATAGTGTCATCACGCTTTCACCGTTAGTCTATACGGACATGTTTAGACTAGTGCAAAGCTGTATGTAAGACTGGTACACCGTCATCACTGCATCTCTAGCCCGTAAGCAGTACTAGTTTCATCTCTGATATTGACAACTGAAAAGATGACCTGAATGCCTCACAAAGAAGATTAACATAACGAAATATGTGACAAATTTCGAAATTTTTCTCTCGAAACAAAGGCGCAGCTTTTTGGAAAATAATCTCCGTCAGACAGTTACTATACACTACCAGTATTTATTTCCTCTCGAAATCTGCATTTTGCTAACCAACATTCAGTCACTATATTAATTATTTTAAATAACCAACAAATAATTCATCTCAAAACTTTTACGACAGATATTATTGAAAAACAAGTCAACATACCTGACTTGATATGGATCAAGTTTATAATAAGTAATACGTTCATCACCATAACTCTCTAATGGATTAAATACTGTGTTATTTTCCGTAAAACCAGTTGCTCGTGGTTGTTGAATACCACTAACAACATAACCTTCACGATCACGTCCTTTTCGATTCATATCAAAATGACTATTTTATAATAAATAAAAGAATCTCGATGTAGTTTTTTTTTCAGAAAAAAAAAATTTGTCATACTTTATTTGATAACTTGTAATAAATCGACGTGGATCATCAAATGTTTGCACATAACCATTTTCATTACTCATTGGTCCTGTTGTTTCTTTTGGTCCAATATTCAAATTACCCATTTTTTCAGGTAAAAATTGACTACCAAGATAATGTTTACGATATTCACTAAAAAAAGAAATTTTTTTTTTTCGATTCAAAATTCAAGACGATAAATAAATTACATACATAGAATCTGGTGCAAATAAACCACCAGCATATGGTCCTTCGCCAGTAGGTAAAATTGTAAGTAACAGATCATCACCCTAAAATATCTCATATACTAATCGATCGCAAACAATTCCACACGATAAGGTCTGTCATCCCTCTAAAGTATTATCAAATATACATAGCATGAACGACGAACATTTTTCACTGA